AATATTTGCCACAGTGTCAAACTTAAATTTCACTAGGAGGGTCTGTAATTGCACTTTCCTTTGTGATAAACCGCCGACTACACTGCACAATTTTCTTTAACTTTGATTCATTAGCAAACCACGCCAATTTTAAAACCCCAAAAGAATGTATCTGTCAACATTCTCTTGAGTATTGACGTTAAAAAAAAAGTACCAATCAGGTATCCTTATGCCTAGAGTTAGTAATATAGCAAGCTTCTTCAAAACTCTGCACGTGAGTTCTCCTTTATAGATATGTTTCAAAATAAATCTTATTTGATCTGGTAATTTAATTTTTTTTATTGCAGTTTTTCTCCGTGGGGTCCCGCTCAAAACATCCCTATAACACGTTGAGAACACCGTGGTAATTAGAGGTGATAAGCAAACTTCTTTACTCTCTGGATGGATAAGGTTGAACAAATTTCAACGCTACAGGAAGGGGTCACTTTTGTGTCATAAATTTTTTTAAGTTTTTTTTTTTTTGCTAGAAAAAGGAAGGGCCAGTATGTGACCCCTTAAAGACCCCCAATAGAAAACAAATTAAATGGGTCATAGACCCTATTGAAATTTGCTCTGTATTTGACATTGGTGAGTAAGTAAGGAAATTGGTGATTTGGGCAAATGGGATATGGAAATATTCGAGGAAAAGCCTTTCAAAATGTTTACCAAAGTACCCTGGTCATATGCGGGAAAAGCGAGATTAGTTTAAAAATCTGTGATTGCTTTCTTTAGATGCCTAAATTTAAATATTCAAAGAAAAAAAGTGGCCTTGATCGAATTAAAACTCCACTGAAATTACTTGGTTATTGTACCGGATACAGAGTATAATTACGAAGTTTAATATTTAATTTTAGTATCCACTAAAACAGTAAATAACGTTGAGGGCGCGCTTTGATTGGCTACCCAATCACCGATAATCCTTCACTATTCACCTCCGAGCAAAGCGCGCGGTATTTGCGCCTGAGAATATTGTAATCGTTGCAGGAATAAATGAGTCGAAATAATATTTTTTGCTTTCTTACCTCACTGATTTATTATCTATCAAAACAGCTGTTCACCTCAGTGTCGGTGATTAGCGGTGGATATAGAGCACGCCGCCTCGTGGCCGGTCGTTAATTATCCACCACTGGGCACTTGTACCTCCACTTCGTTAAATATTTGTTAGTAATTATTTCTTAGAATTCAAAGAAAAAGAAGAAAGAATCCTAATTTATAATGCGTATTTAAAGATAATATCTTGTAAAAGTTCTGGAAAAACAGAGGGAATAGAGTAAAACTTCAATTGAGTAGCACAGTTTAGCCGTGAATTCACAGTTTGTGAATTAACGACAAAAGAGATTTTGCCTTTGGGTTTCATTTAGGGGTTCTAGAGGATCTTTTCAGGTATCTTAACCTGGGATGGGCTTGAAAACTTGACTGTTTATGTACGGCATTTATAACGTAAACTTTAGAACATGCCGACCGCCTTATCGAAGGCTAACTCTTGTGTAGAGGAGGGAGGGGGGGTAGAGGAAGGGAGGTGGAGGGGGAAGAAGTCATCAGTAACATGTTAATTTCGTTGCCTGTTTAAAAAGTTGAATGATGACGAATGATGACGAATGATGGGCACTCTCATGAGAAGTTTTGTTCGTTTCACTCTAGTTTGTGGATATTTTTTTTGCTGTGACAAATTGAGTTTCGGATGATAACGGTATGATAATGGCATGGAAAGAAAAATAATACAATCAATATTTTTTCATTGCTTTTTTATTAACCCATTAAGCGCGCTAAACTTTTTCCCCAATATCCTTACAATTTATAAACCAGAGAGTAGCTAGACTACTGTTTTGTATTATGATATTTCCCTTTTGTTTCCGCGTACGTTCCAGTTCTGTGGTTAATTCACTTTTGAGTTGCATAACTCTGGCCCTTGATCTGTGAAAGATAATATATATGCGACTTGAGTTTCGCATTTTGAAAAGTTGTAAACTGCCTACATTGTACTTGAAGTCTTGAACAAACGTGAATAGCTACTTTTGGTCATGCAGGGTAATTTCGTTTATAAACTGAGTTGACGACGTAAATTGTCCACCGTTAGGAGTTTTTAAGCTGACTTTTCGAGCGTTAGCCCTTCGTCAGAAATTGATGACGAAGGGCTAACACTCCCTCACCGACGCAGCACTAAGGTCTCTTTAGAAACTCTCCCCCTTTATTATAATTTTGCTCTTGATTTGGTTAACTGGCTGATGGCTTGTATTACCCACTAACTCAATTTCTCTAACTTCTAAGGTGTCGTTTTCTTTTATTTTGGTTTTAGCTTCAAATGAAAATGGATTGTGAGACTTGAATTCGGCTAAGGGTCCGAAATGTCGAGGTTTTCTACTCGATACCCAAGAGGTGAACTCAGCAGAATATCGTTCGTGTTCCGCGAACAAAGTTTACAAAGCTCAACTTGACTATCATGGGGTGATCATACGCAGGTAATAAACCACACAAGTTAAATCCGCCAGCTGCATAGCTGAGGTGGAAAAGTTTTAGCAATTTGAAAACAAACTCCGAACTTACCTGAACCACTATTCATACTTATAGACAAACATGTCACCATTAATTTCCTTGCCGGACCCGTTGCCACTTTTGCTGACAGAGCATGTTGAGGATTTCCCGTACCTATCGTACTTGTTCTCCCCATCGTTATCCGCCCAGCAGATCTTGTCGTCAACTCCGAATAGCTCGTGGCCTAAAGACTCAGCCTTCTCCTTGCAGTACAAGAAGATATTGTCATTACCTTGTATTTTATCGACACCGTCGTCCAAAGAGTCTGGTAAAGCCAATTTCGATGCCTTGTTGACGTAGCATCCTTTTTGTGCCCAGTCCCCTTTGTGAAAAATAGTAAGGAGAATTAGAAATCCGACCTCTCTAAACGCTCTTTGTGTACCTCTATGATTTCAAGAAAAATATGCGTAATATTCAGTCTCTTTCCAAATTTCTAACGGTCTATGTCTAACAGTTACACTGGTGGTTATCATTCTCGCTTTTCATGTAATTCCGTGGTCATAACGTTCGTCCCACCTCAAGGCTCTCTTATTTTCTATGTGGGTGCTTTACAGCGGGGGAATTATCAGTTATGACTTCATATTTCCCAGAGTTCAAACTATAATTGCGTTCTCTCATCCTTTTCTTTTTTTTTTTTTTTCGGCAATTCTAGTGGTTACACGACTGGCTTTTAGCTTTAAGTTTACAACTGATAAATTGTTACGTCACGCGTATTTTGTATTTTGTATTTCATTCTCTAATTTAGATTTTATTGTTGTTATCATTATTACTGTTAGCACTATTTAATTTTGCATCGATAATTATTGATGATTATGGTATCGATAATTATTCCTCGTTTTGATTTTATCATCATACTCGTTACGAAAATGATGAACATGCACTTATGGAGATCACGTTTTACTTACTGCAATTACATGAACAACGTGAACAAACGATATAAAGGCTACAGTAAATAGATAAAATACTTAATCAATCATACAGATTTCCCAATACGTATAAGGAATAGATTAGAAATAAGACTTCGGTCATTATCTGTTTTAAACACAATGAAGCATTTTTCCTATAATTATGATCATTTTTATTGTTTTGTTGCTCTCATTAGTACATCATTACCCAGTTTCCTTTTCACCAGAAAACAGAATGGAGTAAAAAAAAAGTTTTCTTACCATCTGCGTCTTTCTCGTAGACAAACATTGTTTCCGACTCCGACAGACCACTACCTAATCCATCCTTTGTCTTGCACTGCCCTGAGGTTCCATATTTGCTGAATGTGCTTTCTGCATTTTCACCGGTCCAGCATCTCCTGTCGTCCATACCAAACAAGGCCACATCTTCACTGTTAGCCACTGATGTGCATGCTGTATAGCGGGCGCTTATTGATTTCTTGCTTCCCACTCTCTCAAGAACCACGTCGAGAGCGCGATCGCTATTCTTAAAGCAGCCCACTGGCTTCCATTCAGCTTTTGAGAAAACGAAGAAAAAATATTGTGAGTATTCCTGCAGTGAGCGGGAAACTTGCGCATTGCAGAAGACCCTTCCCACACCCTCTCCGGTCATTTGTCCAACTACTTCCCATCAGTGTAATCGTTTAGAGGCTTGGAAAATTCATCTTGGATCAAATTATACAGCTTTTAAAAAAAAAATCATAAATCTCGTAAAAGAAAGTTGCAGTTGTTCAACATTGTTAATGATGCATAAGAATAACTGTATGCAGTTTAAACGTCGTGATTCACATAGGAAGCGATTAATGCTTTATTACTAAATACGGTGGCCAATCGAAGGCTTGACCTCGGAGTCCACGATCGGGAGTCCAGCGTGACAAACATAGTTTCCATCTGTAGTACACATTTTACGGCATGTAATGAAAGGAGAATGCAAATGTCCTTTACTTACGTCCACACACTTGAGGGTTACACTCTTTCGTCTCTGCCTCGTCTCCTTCACAATCCTTACCATCAGCTGCAGGCTTAGGATTGTTACACTTTCTTTCTCTGATCAGTTCTCCTCCTCCACATGTAACTGAACACTTACTCCAATCGCTCCAGTCTCCCCATCCGCCGTCCACTGGGAGTAAAAATGATGCGCTTAATGACATGTTCGTAATCAAAAGAAGAATCATAAACTATGCATAACAGGAGACGATCAAGCTGAGGGTCTCAATATGTTTTATGAGACCTCTTCAAAGATAATCCGACTTGAGTAATTTCTAAATTCTTGCATCTAGTCGTCTGGGAATAATCTTGTGCGCCTAATGAGTGGCTTAAAAATCTCGAGGTGGAGGAGTGGAAACCACTCAGTGTTTCCACACGAGCAGAGGTTGGATCACGTTATTGATAAATAAAACATCCTCCAGGGATTATGGGAAAACGATAGTAATACAGTAATTGAAATCGGTGAGCAAGCTCAACTGAACTTGATTTTTTCGTGATAATTATTATCGGTAAACTTACCGGGACATTTCTTTATTGGTGGTGTGCATGACTTTGTCTCGCTATCCTTTCCAAGACCTGAACAGTCCTTCCCACCATCCTTTGGTTCTGGGTTATTACACAAGCGATCACGTGTATGTTTGCCCTTTTGCTTGCCACAAGTAATAGAGCAGTCGCCCCAGGAACCCCAAGGTCCATAACCTCCATCAACTAAAAATATTGATTTGACTCAGATAAAAAATTTGGTCGTAAAAACTAGGATTCTTTTACCTCAAAATAACTGGCAGTGGTTTATCTGACTATTGATCTTATGAACTTAGCATAAGGACAAAAATTAGTAAAGAAGGTCAGAAGCAGAAGAAAATGTCGTAAATGAAGAGGAGTTAGTGGGGCTCAACGGCAAGAAGTTTATGCCAAATTAATTAATGGCGAGAGATGTTAAAAAATCTCAACATGAAATGATCTGATCAATGTCAGTGTGAGCAGCTGCGCACCAACCCCTCCCCTAATGTGAAAGTACGCTGGGTAAGGGGTAGCTGCGCGGTTGCTGAGATACTGACATTGATCCAAATTATACACAGAATATGTGAACCTGGACATCCAGCTGTATTACAAACTTCTGTCTGACGGATGGGCCCCAGTTCCGAACAATCTTTTCCACCATGTTGCGGTTTGGGATTGGTGCACTGCCGATCACGTTGGCGTATTCCTCCTCCACAGCTAACAGAACATTTGCTCCACCCGTTCCAGTTAGTGTAACCTCCGTCAACTACGTAAACGTGACAATAATGGATTCGTACATAATAAAGACCGTTTTACGTTTCGGTATGCAAAGGTAACATGTTATTCAATGTCGTCCAAACAGTTACACGTAAAACATAAAAAAAACTTTTTAATGTGCATCCCGAACCGATATTGGCAACTTTAGAGATTACTTTTAATTGGATGTGACCAGCTTTCTTAAAGAGAGTAATAAACCTTCTAGAGAAGAATTTGCCTCGCTCCCAACATTGCGCTTTGTTGCTCAGTTGATAGAAAAGTCCAACTTATGGAAAAAGTTTGGTACGAATTCGAATCCCGTCAAAGCTCAAATTTTTCAGGCTTCCTTTTCCTAAATCTTTTGAATGCAGATCACTTGCGAGGATCATATCTTCCGTTGCGTTTCTTTCCGCAGGTCGAAATGGTACTTTCTTTCTTTTGATTCAGACCTAAGCGTTGTAGTTGGCACCTGATGCCTTTTTTATTTTCCTCTGTGCACTGAGAAAATAAAGCTTTCTGTATGGTACGCTTCAGTCTTTAAATAAACACATACTCACTGGGGCAATTTTGATTGCTGCATTCTCTGCTTGATTTACTCGGTCCAAGTCCCGAGCAATCCTTTCCTCCGGCACTTGGAGGTGGATTTGTGCACGTTCGCTCTCGATATTGCTTTCCACCTCCACACGTTTTAGTGCATTTGCCATATGGCCCCCAAGCAGAGTACCCACCATTCCCTACAAATAAATGAGGTTTTATGAGTTTCTTTATCATGACATCAACAATTGAAAGTTGTTTCTTTACTTCTTGATACACAGCGGGTAAAAAACAAATGTATCACTGGCCTCCAGGTGATATAGATGTGAGAGGTACGACCCTGACCTTTGGATTTGATTCCTAACGGAATCAATCAATGAACTAATACAGTTTTGGAGGTTTTCACTAAATGTGATGGTAAATCCCTAGGCTAGTAGATTGAAAATTCACATTACACAAATAATCCTACCTACATATAGTTTGACGAACCGTGCACCGTTAAACCTTGTTTGGGAGAGTATAGAATGTTTCGCTATTATAGCTTTAGAAACACTAGAATTTTCAATTCGAACTGCAATTTCCATGGGGTTTGATTTTTTTCAATTGCCTTTGAAATTCAAAATAAATGAACATGTAGCGCGCTCACTCGGGCATTCTTCGTTATTGCACTGCTCTGTTTCCAATGAGGGTCCAACGCAGTTCTTTCCATCATGCTGTGGAACAGGGTTGTCACATTTCCTGCTGCGCGCTCTTCTTCCTCCACCACATGAAGCAGAACAAGCACTCCATTCGAGCCAATTGCTATAACCACCATCAACTGGAAAGAAAGAAGAAGTCAACTGTTGCTTTGTGTAGTGCTAAACGGTTCATAAGCCAAGTGACCTGCACCTTTAGGGCTTTCCAAAGCGACCAGGGATGTGGCTACTTCCTCTGGAGGAAATACCTATCTATTCCACCCCCTGGAATTTCATAAACTTTTGCTAACAGTTTGTTTGTTACTATTAATGCTTCAGAATATCTAGAAGAGGACACTGAGTGCAAATTGTGTCTTGGCCGAGAAAATAACTACATAACCTTGGCCAAGAATAGAATTCGAACTGATCCAAATCTAACATGTCATATCCGTCACCAATATTCATTATTAACCAATATTCACTATGGTATAATTAACGTTGAAAAAAGCCTTAAATAAATTGTCTATTTAATTATGAATATTCTGAAATTCCCACAAAAATGCAAAACCAATACAAAACATTGATCATCATGGTTATCACAGTCATCATCCTTTTACCACCAGCGAAATAAACTCAAAGCTACCACGTTCCGTTACTGGATCCAGGTAATGCAGAAGGTGACATGAAATAAACCAGGTATGCTTCTACTTCAAAACAATCGCTATTTTAATTAATATTCAAGGGGAAGAATACATATTTGCCTTATCTAAAGTTCGTTAAAGTAAGTTAACAGTTTCTCACTTGGACAGTTGCGTGTGTTACATTCTCTGGTTGAAATGTCTGGTCCCAGACTATCGCAGTCTTTGCCTCCGTTCGCAGGTGGTGGATTGGTACAAGTGCGCTTGCGTGTTTCTACTCCGCCACCACACGTCTTGGTACATTTGCCGTATTGTGACCAAGCAGAGTATCCGCCATTCACTTCAAAACAAAAATAAAAATTATTGTTAGCATAATCATGCTAGTTTCCTCTAGAAATTCCTGCTCCATTTAAGGGCGATAATCTTTGACAGAAAATTTGATTGTTTGATAGACAGCTTGGAGCCGAGCACAATTTTTCAATTTGATGTTCTCATCCTTAATAAATGTTACTTTTTTCCAATGAATCTCTCAAGATAAGAAGTGGGATTTTGACTGAAAAATTTTTATGCGTTTACCTGGGCAGCTTCCATCATTGCAATCTTCATATTGTGTGTCAGGTCCCAGGTCAGAGCAGTCCTTTCCACCAGGGCTTGGAGGGGGATTGGTGCATGATCGACGGCGACTCCGACGCCCATCTCCACACGTTTTGGAACACTGAGACCAAGAGCCCCACGCTGAAAACCCTCCGTCATCTACGGTGGAAAATCAAAGATGATGAAGTGTTTGCAATTTTTTTTCTAGCAGGTGATATCTATTATCTAAAAATACATAAAAAATATTTTTCCCTGCATATATGACGTAACACAGTGTCTACAAAAGAGTCTTTATGTGGTAAATGGTCTTTATGTGGTAATGGCTTTTACGGCGAACATATAAAATTTTGGCAATTTAACAGGTAACAGTCAACCCAAAATTACTCAAAATTACATGTTATAGAAAGGAAAATTATAACGGTTGACTCCTCTTACGCCTAACGGCTAAATTTTTGACTGTTTTACCCCATAGCGATCCTTATGAAAGTACTTTAAGGTAACTAACAGTTGTTAACAACAAAATCAGAAAAAGCCAACATAAAACTATTGATACACGCAAGATATTTAATCTCACTTGTCTTGCATCCGTAGAATTCAGCCCTCAGGGCGATGTAGCTGTACCATTCCTCTGGAACAATCCTCAAATAGCGCGTGCGAATAGGTTTGGGTAAATCGTGGCTTACGACTGTGTACCGGTCACTGTTTGCCAAAAATGTCTTAAAAAAAAAACAAAAACAATGAAAATAATGATAACAATGATGATGATGATAAAATACTCCATGGTAAATTGAGAGACTTTTTACTCACCACGGTGTAACCAAATGGTTGATACTGGTTCCAGTAAGATTTATCGAGACTGTATCTCAACGTGTATTTTGTGACATACTGATTTGCATTCTGGCGACCTTGGGTAGCAATTCGTGTGACTTGGGTCTCAACTCCAAAGTCAACCTGGAACCACTGATTATGGTTCTGAACGCTTGAAACCCAGGCTCCTTGGCGGCCTCCGACGGGATGAGAGTGAAGTCTCGCATTTTCAGGACCATAATTAGCATTCCATTTCGATGAGGCTGACAATGCAGAATTTGGTATCTTGCCATTTTGCATCCCAAGTTGAATCTGGCATGGAGGAACACTGGGAATGGGAAAACCTAGGAAGCAAAAAAAAATCGGTGTCTCAACAAGAAATTATTATTATGGTTTTACATTAGATGAGTTCATGGGATCTACAGGAAACGGGGTTTTGATTTACCTTGCTTGTTACTTCTTATCTCAGAATGAATATCAGACTGCAAGGCTAAATTTTCCGGCGACCTAGTTAATTGACTCTTACATGGCAAACTACTATATGCATTGTGCCCAATATCAAAATATGCTGTGATAAACATACATTTTATCATTCTTCCCTGGAATTGCTTCTTTTTGCCTTCATAATTGTGATCAATTTTTTTGTAATTTAGTAAAATAGGATTTTTTCGTGGTTTAACAACTACTGAAATCCGAATTCACCGGTAAGTTTCCCATTAAAGGTAGAAAAAGAGAAGTTCTTTCATTTTTTACGCGCAAGGGTTCTTTTCTCAACCTAAAATTCTCGTTTTGAACTGCAGGGAGAATTTTCATGTAAAAACTTTTCTCGAACAAAATTGTACAGATAATATTGAAATGAAGGAAAATAGAGGGGTTGGAGAGTTATTGTATTCTGACACGTTTTTGAGTGGCTTTGTGGCAATAGGCTCGTGTAGGCTATTGACAAAATCGATTTACTAACCGCTTGTGCATCCGTAAAGCTCGAAACGTAGTGCTATGTAACCTTGCCACTCTTTTGCGTGGATTCTAATATATTGTGCTATTATAGGCGGATTGAGAATGTTCCCAACTATTGTATTCTGGTCCGTATTGCCTGGAAGAACCTATAAAACATGAGAGGTGATGGTGAGTTTATTGTTTCTGTCACTTAAGGACTAAAACGTAACAAGGGTGTTTCGTGTTCGTCAGAAAAAGGAACACTTCCAAGAGATGAGACTGACGTAGATTGCATCGTTTAAAGATAAGTGACATGTGGAGAGGACCACACTGCACGTAAATAAACAAAGATATCGATGAGGGCCTCCTGATATTTCTGTCTTGCTCTTATCGGAATCAAGAACGCACAGGTTCAAATTGTTCCCCTCGGAGCCAAAACACGGCTGAGCTGCGCGGACACAATTGTCAGTTGACTCACACCTTATAAAAAGATCGTTTTAGGGGCACAGGCCTCCTATCTGCAGAATTAATACAAACATATATAGTGGCTAGAGGAATGAAACTTAGTTTTGTAACTCAAGGAGGCTCGATACAAAACGAAACTTCACGTCCACCCTATACCTGGTTGTCATTGTAAGGCAAGAATGGTCCACCTTCAACACTGTAGGTAAGAGAGAAGCTTTTAACCCAGTGACCCGCCTCTTGCCTCCCTCTCGTGGCTATACGTGTTATTTTTGCAATTTTTCCCAAATTAACTTGTATCCATTGACCAAGGTCCTGCGCATTAGGAATCCACGCTCCAGCAAAACTCCCTGACTTCACTGTATTCAGTCTGGCGCGCTCTGGACCATAATACTGATTTAGGCTGGTAGTAGCAGTGATAGCGCTGTTGGGTATTTTCCCGTTGCTCATTCCAAGTTCTGCTTGGCATTCCAGTTTTGGGGGCTCAAATCCTGATAATTTAAGAGCAAAGACAGTTAAAGCCAGGAAACTGCGAAGCACCAATCGAAACGAAGGGAGGAAAGGGTGATTCTGATTATGAGCGAATTACACACTCTTCACTATCACCCCTTCAGAAGAGCCGTATCCGTCGATCTTCGTTTTACAAAGCAAAAGCAGCATGTTTCGCTACTTTTTAAACAATTATTTACGGTGCTGGGAGAAAATATTGTTGGATATTTACCAAGCTGCAAAGTGGTGTGGTAAATGTCCACCACTTTCACCGACAATGAGGTGAATAATTGTTTAAAAGTAGTTAATTCTATCAATGTACCAAAAAGTGGTTGGGACTTTAAATAGCTACGCGCGATTTTGCCTGTTCTACTGCTCGCAGGTGAATAGTATTTGCAAATCACTTACGAACGAGCTAATTAGCGCACACAAAAAGTACTATTCATTTGTATGGTATATAATAAATATTTTTGTGCTACAAATTATTTACAGAACATCATAATCTTACTAGAAAACTTGCCAGTTTATACCACATAAATGGCCTCATATTACGTCGGTAATCACGCGGGAATATTTATTGCTTTCCCTTACCATCTTTGCAACCATAAAACTCTGCTCTCATAGATATGTGACCATACCATTCCACTGGATGAATTCGTATATATCGAGTGATGATGGGATTTTTTAGATCATGATATGCTGGGGTATATCGATCAACACTACCAGCAAAGACCTAAAAGAGAAAGAAGTCAATTATCGTACTTGACCCTCACGTTTTCTATTAAATCGTTCCGCAGAGTAAACAAATCTTCTACGTTTCAATACTTCATCTGGATATTACATGTACAAGGCACTAAAAAAAAACTGATAGTATTTACGAAAGAGAAGAAAAGTATTCTGGATTTGAACCAAACCCGGCCTTAATTTTGTGTTTTACCCCTTCACAGAATAAAATAAGAAGCATTTAATCCAAGGGCATTTATGTCCGTTCAAAAGCTGAGGATTGCTAGAACGCAAGAAGATTATATATCCTTTTCAAATGAAAGGAAAGCTTAAGGTGATTCCTCAGCATTGAACTACGCATACTGAACTGTGCATAAAAACCACGTAATCAGGCGAAAAAGCGAGCGCATTCCGAGAACAAGGTATTGTTTTTCAGTAATAGACCCAGTAAAGAGGTGCGATTGTCTTTAGCTCTTGAACAAGCACAGTGACCTACATTTTTACTGTCATGTTTTTTTTAAACAGACATTGGCAAGGAATATTTATGGAAAGTTTAAGATATATTGTTCTATAACTTTTTTGTTCTAAGGAATCACCTTAAGCCTCTCATCTGAACAAAAATTCTCATATTTTTATTAATTCTCCTCCGCTACACCTTCAGCTCATCCTAACCACAAATCTGATACCATACCCATGCTATGCACATTTTTACTCCAGATCCCTGAGTAAGTGCTTTGACTTCACAAACAGACTTTTAAAATTCCACTATTACACCATTTTACCAAATTAGGGCAACAGAACGCACAAAATATGCTACGGCACTATACCGTAAAACAAAGAAAAAATACGAAAGGAAAGCAGTGCAACAAATTGTCACGATTTTGGTGCTGCTACATATTTATCTTTCATGGAAAGTATTGTTAAAGTATATCATGAAAAAATTACTCATAAGTATAGAAAGCGACGCTAGGTACCTCTGCACCGTCTTCTAAATAAGCTTTGAAGAACACTGCATCGTAGCCATATGAAAGTTTAAACCTCTTCACCCACTGCTCCGCGTCTGATCTCCCTTGAATGGCAACTCGGGTGATCTTTGTCCAGTCTCCAAAATTTGCTTGCAAGAACTGGAACTTATCATTTTTTTGTGCTATCCAGGCTCCATGTCGGCCTGACCTGTAAAGGAAATGTAATCTGCCGTTGATGGCAGTCCCTGTTGAAGCACTTAAAGCAGAGTCTGGAATTCTTTCATTCTGCATTCCAAGAGCTTCCAAGCACACCAAGGCCTTCGGTTTTTCGAATCCTATAGATATAACAAGGGAGAAAATGAAAGGAAACGTTAGCATTATACAGCGGGGAGAATGTACCAAGAATATAAATGACTTTACAACGATTCTTACTGAGAAAATTATGGAGGGGTTAAGTAAAATTCAGCAAAGTTTTCATTGACATACTCGTCGATTCTTTTTTTTCGTAGTATGTTACGTTAAAAACTTTCTAATTGGGGTGTTGACTCTTTCCTTCTTTTCCACTGTAGACCATTGACATTATCTACCGACTACCCGTTCTCATTGAAACCCTGTAGGTAACTCCAGAATATATGATACAAAATTTTTATACGACACTCTGAATTCGTTTTTGAATTGAAACCCATACTGAAGTACCTAAAAATTTTCGTATGGAGATTACCTTCGGTACACCCATAAAATTCGGCTCGCAGGGCTGGATGTCCTTTAGATGTTACCACACGAATCTTAATGAACCGGGCGACTATTGGTGGATCGATGACGCTACCAGCGGGTTCATTTTTATCCTGAGTGTTCCCTGTAAATACCTGATAGGAAGATTTTTCGAGGGTTGGTAAAAGTTCTCAGTAGGTGTATGAATGAGTGAGAGATGAATAAATGAACGAATGAATGAGTGAGAGTATGAAAGAATAAGTTTGTATACATGCATGAGTGTAAGAATGAATTTAATGATGAAAGATTAATGTGTGGTTAGATTAATAAATGAACGAGTCAATAAAAGAATGAGTGAATGAATGTTGAGGCTATTCCACAACAGGTCGTTAAGACCATTACGCAGTTCTACACTCTTCTATAGATACGTAAGACCATGATGCCTCAGTAGCTTGTTCTTTTCATTTTCATTTTTTTTTCAATCGCACGCGGTGAAGCTAATTTGCTCTGATATTGTGATTTGTCTTTTGTTTCCCTCCTTTCATCATATGGTAAGTTTAGATAGTTTCTTTTTCGAATTTCGCTTCGCTAAGTAATCTTTGTTGTGTCGCAGGTTATTACGGCTCAAAGAGTTTGTAATCCAAAATGAAAGGCTGTTGTGCTAACGATTTGTGACGTCCTCCGCCCGATCAATAAAGAAGTTGCGTTTGGAAGGCTGTTCGTGTTATAAAGCCACGCCCTGAACCGCCTTATATGTCCAGCCCGGGCAATGAATGAATGAATGAAGGAATGTGTTACTATTCTTGAGTCAGAAAAAGTTTTTTCGATAGAGAACTGGAAAAGAAGCTGCCAAAAAAAAAGCGCAAATATGGTTTTAGCCTGTGAATAAGTTCATGCATAAAAAATGAAAGAATTTATGAATGAAAAGTAAATTAAAGAATTAATCAGTATTAATGTTCAAAAGACAGAAGGAGTTTCCAAACTCATACTTGTCCATCACCGGCACCGTATGTCGTGAAAGAGACGCCATCAAGACTGTAGGCCAAGATGTAGCTGCTGACCATCCAATTAGCGTCGGAACGCCCTTGAGTTGCCACACCAGTAACCTTGACAAACTTACCAAAGTCGTACTGTATAAACTGGTGAACGTTATTATACTGAGCAGCCCAGCCGCCGTAATAGCTTCCCTCTTTTACGGCGCGAAGCCTGCCACGTTCCGGTCCAAAATACTGGTTGTACATTGAAGAGGCCACTATGGCGCTGCTTGGAATTTTTCCACTTTCGATACCCAGGGGATCTTTGCATTTAGGTTTTGGAGGCGTAAAACCTTTTGAAAAAAAGTTAGAATTGAAATTATTTCTATATTTCTTATTTTATTTTTTACTCACTGTAGAAATCTTAAAAAGAGTGCATGTTCAGAGTCTCTCTTTGTTTTTCTGTTTTTTTTTCGATTGAAAAACCTCCATCAATGTTATTTGGTGAGTTAAATAAGGCCTCACTTCACAAACTAATATAAGAGGCAAACGGGAATTGTAGTAATCATAGTAATTGTCTGTCGGAAACATAGCTCCCATTACCCGAAACGGTTTGGGTGACCTTGAGCAAATATGTCACTAGAAGTCCATCACTGATCTAAAAGAAGCCCATACGTTCTTTAAACGCCTTGTGATGAACATTAATTTTTATTTGTATTTTACCTTCCCTGCAGCCATAAAACTCTGCTCTAAGCGATATATAGCCTTGCCATGTCTTTGGTTTGATTCGAAGGTAACGAGTGATGATTGGATTCTTTAAAGTATGCTTCACCACCGAGTATTTATCACTGTTTCCAGTAAAAACCTTAAACAAAATGACCAAAAATGTAAGGTTCAATACTTTAGAATGTTAACTTAACCAAGAGAAAAATCTTCAGCATAAATAGCTTCGCATGGAGGTGAACCTTACGATATTTAGCGTTTCTGTTTACCAGACTGATTCAGTACTAAACTATGTGTGGGAGGGATGCTTCTGTCTTGTCCAAATATTGACGCAAGTAAAATTGATACCTTACGGAGGTGGGATGGAATTTACCTCATGCTTCACGTGCGCCCCGCGTATTAAAAAAATTATTTTCTTTCGATGTAAATAAGGTACCTTCACTTCATTGTCTTCTTGATAATCCCTAAAGAACACACCATCGTCACTGCTGGCAAGGATGTAGCTTTTAACCCACCAGGCTCCATCTTGTCTGCCTTGAGTGGCTACTTGAGTTATTTGGGTCCAATCGCCAAAACTGACCTCAAAGTACTGGAATTCGTTATTTGTTGAAGTGGCCCATGCTCCGTACTGTCCTGACTTCGCTTGGAAATGCAATCTTCCATTCCTTGGACCCATAGAGTTTACATTGTAAGACGTGGACGCCCTCAAAGCAGAATCTGGTATCTGGTTATTTTGCATACCAAGAGGTGCTACGCAGGTTGGTGGTTTTGGTGGAGTGAAACCTTTAATCAAGAAGGAAGGAAAAGTAAACTCTAAGAACCGAAGATGTAGAGCAATAATCAAAAGTCACCTAAGAGAATATTTCATTATCACTATAAACATTCCCGGAGCTATGTTTTTACAGTTAAAGGTCAGCTTCTGTAATCGTAACCAGAGATAGATACTTTAAATATTGTCGCTATTTTTGATAGAAAGATGAGATCATATAAATAAAACCCTTCCATTTATCCACCTTCTCGTTGCCAAATATGTATTGATCCGTTCATTCATTCATTCATTCATTCATTCATATTTCCACCCATTATTCGTTTATTTTTACAGTAACACAGTCTGTCAGTCGCATGATTAGTCACTTTGTCAGTCAGTCACTTCGTCAGTCAGTCAGTCGGTCACTTCGTCAGTCAGTCAGTCAGTCACTTCGTCAGTCAGTCAGTCAGTCACTCAATCAACCCGCCAGTAAACCAGTCACCAAAAAATATATTTTCTGGTTCATTTATCCATTTACTTTATCATTTTTAGCACACATACTCGTATCCAGATATGATATCAAAATCACCTTCTCTGCATCCATATAGTTCCACTCGTAAAGAAATGAATCCCTGCCAAGTTTTGGGGTGAATCTTGATGAAGCGTGCAATTATTGGTGGATTAATCATGCTGCCTGCTGGCGTATTTCTGTCTCGACTTCCAAGAAATACCTTGAATGTATTGAATTACATCAGTCGTATAGAGTGAGACCAGATCAAATCATATGGCTAACAATGGTGGCTCTAAATACAGGAGCATGCTCGCATACCGGCTTCAAAACGTGTTTTAAAGATTAAAATCGTTCCTCGCCAACGTAATATACTTTTTGAAGGGTAACCCATTTTTTTTCACCCAGTGTGGCAATATTTTCACGGTTTCGCTGCCGTTTCGCATTTGACTCGTAAATATCTATAGGCCCACTTAAAAAAAATTACCCTTTACTTTTTTTGATGAATTTAGGTGGCTCAGAACTTCTTCCACAAGTCATATTTCTTATTTACTTCTAATAGTTGCTACGTCGAAAAATTTACGTGCGGGGATAGAGTTAGGAAGATGGGATTCACTATAATAGTACCTGGCCATTGTTGTACGACTCAAAGCTTCCTCCATTAAGCTTAGAGGACATGGTAAAACTAGTTGTCCACCAATCCGCGTTGTCGCGACCCTGGATAGCAATCCTGGTCACTTTTGTATTCTCACCAAGGTCAAATTGTATCCATTCCCCTGTGTTGGATGCCTTTGGAGACCATCCCCCGATAAAGCTTCCTGCTGTGACCTTACGCAGCCTTGCTCTTTCCGGTCCATAGTATGCATTGTATTGGGAGGAGGCCACAATAGCAGCGTTTGGAATCTGGCCGTTTTCTAATCCAAGCGCTGATACGCAGACAATCTCAGGATCTTTAAAACCTGACCGAGAAAAGCAAATTTGGCTTACATTATAAAAGTATACAGGATACAGTGACTTTATTGATCAGCGATTGCACTATGCCAAAGAGGGTAAGGTAGTGTTCAAACCCTTGTCAAAGCCTTTGCTTTGTACCAAAGAGCTTGACACCATAATTTCAAAGTGACGTAAATAAAATGAATAAATAAGAAGCGGAAAAAACTTCTGCTTTGCTTTGTATTTCTCATAATGAAACTTTCACTTTCAAAAAACCCTATTGACTACTAACTTAAGGTAGGGCACGGTTTGGTATTGTATG